ACAGGTACCTTGGCTTGCAGTTACAGGCATATATTCACACACACAAACATACTCACTGCAAGGACTCATCTAGGAGCATGTTAACTCTAGAAGCTGAACAGCACTGGAATTATTCTCTTTCTTATTTTTACAATTTTAGTTTGTGTTTTTTGTTTCTTTGCTTGCTTAGATCCCTGTCCCTGCAAGGGTGTGCTTCTGTTCTATATAATTCAGCAAATGTATCACTCCCAATAATGCATTAAAGAACACAACTAACATGTATCATATTTAGAAACTGGGGAGGGCTTTCTGGACAATTAAGCCTGTCCCCTTATAATCTATTTGCCCAAAGATCACCCGCTCCAACTATTTGCCCAAACATCACCCACTCCAGATCCTTGCATATTCCAACCACAAGGCACAAAACCAGAAACACCAAAAACACTCTACAACAGTGGGGGCAACCCTTTGGGAAGGTGCACCACAAATTAGTCCTCCGTGTTCCCGGAGAGCCACTCCAGTCTCTTTTCCCTACCCAATCTACTGTTCTTCTTTCTTCTCCCCACCCCATGTTCCCTTACCATGGTCCTGCTCTTCTTTCTGCTCCCTGCCCTACCTGCCACTGTGCTGCCAGTCCCCTCCTCATTCTTCTGTGCACCATACACAGAGGCTTCCCATGCCACTTGTGGCACTGGTGCTGCAGGTTGGTGACCCCTGATCTTCTACATGCCATAGGTAAAAAGCAAGGGAGATGAGGCCAGTGACAATGCCCTGTCACTGTAACAGCTGAGAAGAGCCTAGGAGAAAGACCATGGCCCGTGCTACAGAGAAAAGGGAAAAACCCTACTGTCTTCGCTAACATTATAAGGAAAAATTCCTTCCTGATTCAAAATATGATGATAGGTTTGATCAGGAAGAGCAAGACCCTTTGGCCACATGCTCTATGTTTCTAAGTACCAGCAAGAGAACAATTGCATCTTATGCATTTTCTAGCTCTAGTTGCCATTGCAGTCAATGTCCAATGTTTTGAAAGAAGCCATGCTTTGAAGTATGGTTAAGGGCTACGAGGATAGACTAGGGCACCTGGACCTCTTCAGCCTCTGCAAGAGAAGGTTGAGAGGCGACCTTGTGGCTGCCTATAAATTCACCATGGGGGCACAGAAGGGAATTGGTGAGGCTCTATTCACCAAGGTGCCCCTGGGGGTCACAAGAAATAATGGCCATAAGCTAGCAAAGAGCAGATTTAGACTGGATGTTAGGAGGAACTTCTTCACAGTTAGAGGGCCAAAATCTGGAATGGGCTCCCAAGGAAGGTGGTGCTCTCCCCTACCCTGGAGGTCTTCAAGAGGAGGTTGGATGGGCATCTGGCTGGGGTTATCTCAACCCAGCACTCTTTCCTGCCTATGCACAGGTTCGGACTCGATGATCTATTGAGGTCCCTTCCAACCCTAACATCTATGAATCTATGAGGGAAAAATAAAAAAAACAGAAACCAATCAAGGAATTATTGGGGTGGGAGGGGAATTCCTCTCTGTCCCTTACAGTCCTGAAGTATAAAATTCCCAAGTACCTACAACTCTTGAAAGAGTTGCTTACATATCTCAACACAGTAATTGCAAGTAACTGAATCCACCTATCACCGCATGCTAATTGTTGAACCTAGAACTTCCTGTCCTCTCATGCTATCCCTTCCATAAATGTTATCAAGCTCAATCTTAAAGCAATTCTGATTCTCTGCCACAACTACTTTGCTCAGAAGACCATCCCAAAACTTCACACCTCTGATAGTGAGAAAAATTCTTTTAATTTCCAGTGTAAGCTTGTTCATAACCAGTTAGCAGCCATTTGATCTTGATAACCTTCCTCAGCAGTTCACTGGAGGGTGAGTTCAGCAGAGATGACAGGGACTTTGCCTTGCTGTGGAGCTGAGCCTACAACACCATGTGCCACCTCGGGAAGCTCATTGGCCATGCCTGGACCTGGACTGAGGAGCGCCGGGAGCTGGGAGTCTCCCTGCAACCAGCCCCGCATGCCGACCACGTCACCCTAATGCCCCACACGAGGACCTTCCTGGAGCAGTTCCTGAAGGACGCCATCTGAAACAAGTACACCAGTGACCTGAGGGCCAAACCCAACCAGGGAAAGGTCTTTGACATCACCTCAAAGTGGGACTCCAGCAACCACTTCATGCCCAGCAGGAGCTTCACGCGCTTTGCGGACTGGCGCTTCCTCCACTGCGCCCACCCCAATTGCCTGCCTCTGAACAGGGCCGTCCGCTTCGGCCACTGGGACGAGGTGCTGATGGTGCGGCTATGCAGTAGAGACCCTCCCCCATGTGCTGTGTAGCTGCAGGCTGCATGCCAGAGCCTGGTAGCTCTGTCACATTGCTGTCCAGGACCGCCTGGTGAGGGCCATCCTGGCCGCAGTGGGGGAAGATCTCTGTGAACCACACTGAACCGGGCTGCGAGAGCCAGATGCAACCTGACATCATAATCACAAATGAAGAGGCCAAGAAGGTCGTGATCATGGATGTAACCATCCCCTTAAAGAACTGGCGCCAGGCCAGGCTCGCAAGAGGGAGAAGTATGCCCTGCTGGCCGACATCCTGAGGGGCTGTGGCTATGATGTGACGGTCGACTCATTGTGGGAATGCTCGGAGGCTAGGACCCCAGCAATGAGAGCATCCTGCGTGCCTGCCACATCTCCCGCCGCTACGCTAAGCTGATGCGCTGCCTCATAGTGTCCAACACCATCTGTTGGTCCCCTGACATCTACGTGGAACACATCATGGGCCACCGCCAGTACTCCGACCCCAGCACGAGCCGCCACCAGACCAGACCCAGAGGGGACTGCCTGAACCACCCCTCTGTACCACATGGACTTCACTTCGAGAGGATTCTTCAGCAATGGATGACCCCACTCCACCTGCAGAGGACCCCTGCGATGAGACTCTATATGGACTGAGACACTTTCTTTGACCTACTTCCTCCACCATTGCAGACAATTGTATACGGGTTTGTGTGTATCTATCTTCTTTCTCTCTCAGTGTTGCAAGCCCTCCCCTTCCCCTTCCCGCCCCCCACCGGGTTTAGTTGGCTAACATCGTATTTTCTGTAACCTAGTTGCGTTCCCCTCCTCATCCCCATCCCTCTAATGTTAGGCCCTCGCTCAGGCGATTTGTATTTTCCAACTGGCTTTGTCATCTTTTTGGATTCTCAATCCTAAACATCTACTAATAAAATTCAATTTGTTCTCCAGCCTAAAAAAAAGTCCTCTCTCTTGCTAATGCGCCTTCCATTAATGTATAAAAAAAATCATATTCCTTCTCAATCTTCATTTTGCTAAACTAAAGATGCCAAGTTCCTTTCATCTTCTTCCATAAGGTAAGGGCTCCGTTTTCATAACCTTCTTCACTGCTCATTGGTGACCAGAACAATAGTCTAAATGGGGTGGAGAATCTTGATTTATTAGGGAGTGTTTGTTTTGGGGCTTCTTTCTATGTATATATTAAGACACATGCACATACACACACATGCATGTATTGTATGTTATGTATTATGACATGTTCTATTTGATGTATTATTATAACATACTATGTTTCCTTATATTATATTTGAATATATCATATTATAAATATACATCATACATATATTTATCCTTTATAATATTCATGCTAGGGAAAAAAACATCAAGAAAATGCATATGGAGCTATAGATAGTGAAGTCTGTGATGTCCTAAATTCTGGGGGAGTTCATGCCACAGACTAGGACCTGGTGAATGCTCTGTCTTCTGCAGAAAAAAAGCTTTACACTTCTTGTAAAGAGATTAATTAGGCCAGAAGAACAAACCTATCAACCCTGCTTTTCTTATTAGATCTTTATGCATACTTTTAGGTATCTGGGGCTCAGGTCACAGACCACCTTAAAGATAAGGACCAAGACCTTGAATTTAATCCCATTTTTCTGGGCAGCCAGCACAGACAGCAGAGGACAGGTTTCGTTCAAGCCTATATTGCTACAGAAGTGTACTTTGCAGTGTTCTGTACTAACTGAAATTTCCTAAGCCTTGAAGGCCTCCTGTTATCTTATTCCACCAGTCCTTTCTCAACTGACAGATAATAAAGGCATGAATAATTGAGGCCAGGTCACCAATCTGCTAGCTGGGACAAAGTCTTCCCACCAACCAGAAATGACAGAGAAAGCATTACTTGTGGATGCTGAGCTTTACTCTGAAAAAACTCCTAAGTTACAAACTGACCAGACTGATTGCAGGCACATAACTTCCACCGCAAGAGGCTGTGCAGCACTCCCCTTTGCTCACGTGAAAAGCGCTACTGAAATCAGGGAACGTATCCACCCAGCCAAAATCAGCCCACCCTCAGTGTTCAATGAAAACAATAAAGGAGACGCTGTCACTAAGTTTCACACTTTGCCAGCCCTCCTAACATGGGCAAAGGATTGCCCAAGCATCAGTCTCCTGGTGGACACACAAAGGGCAGCTTCAGCTGCAAAAGGTTGCGGAGGCGGGCCTTCAACAACACACAAATGCAATGAGAATGACCCTGATTCAGCCACGCCATGATCCACTGATGGCTACATCATGCCATCCCCTTCCTCGGGGAGACCCCTTGGGTCACCCACCTCCTTGGAAGAGGTGCTGCCAGGGCCACTGGCACTACTTAGGGGGCAGCATGTGGGGCTCCCCTCGCCCCACACGTGCTCCTCTGGGCAGGGCTGCCTGTGCCCCAGCAGGCAGGGCGAGTGAGAGGGCAGGAAGAGGCAAGGGCAGAGCTGCGGGCAGCAGCAAAGCACTGGCCAGCCCCCAGGCCGCCCTGCCCTTGGCCTCCCTCTGCCTGGAGCACCGCCCCCCCAGCCCAGCCGCTTTGCGTGGGCCGCCCTCATTGGCGTGCCGGCTCCTTCTGCCGACTCCCCATTGGCGGAAGAAGGAGGCGGAGGTGGGACTAAGGCGTCTGGGGCTAGGGGCGCGGGGAGGGCGGAGCGCAGGCGGGCGGCGCAGGGGAGCGGCTCTAGCAGGAGCAGGCGGAGGAGGGGGAGCAGGAGGAGGTTGCGGTATAGCGAGCTGCCATCTCCTGAGCGCCCAGCAGTGCCTGCGGGCAGAGAGGTAAGGGCCGCGGCTGCTGGGCGGCAGCTGGAGCCGGAGGCGTTGCCAGCCCGTGCCTGGGCAGGGCTGCTCGCTTGCACTGCGCTCGCCCTCGACCCTGCCGCGGCCCTGCCTGGCAGGGCTCTCCAGGGGAGCTGTCAAGGGGCAACACACCTGCAGCCCCTCCCCCCCCCCACCCCCGTGGCCACAGCCTGGCACCTTGCTCCGAGCTGCAGGTCTCTCTCCGTGGGCACCTGCCTTGCCGTCTAGTCTGCACTTGGCAGCAGCGCAGCTTGGTTGGGAGCCCCCAAAACCCACTGGGGGCGACTCGGTGGTGCAGGGACCCGTCACCTTCAGACCTGGCCCCTTCCACCTTCCTCACCCACCCTGCTTTGGCAGGCGAGGCTCACGTTTACGTCACTTGATGTTTTATATTTTCCTCTCCGCAACGCAGGGTCTAGAGGCAGGGCAAGGCTTTGCTAGCCGGCACCTTGATTCAGGAGCCAGTTTCAAGTGGGAGAAATCTGGGGCTTGGTCTGCCAAAAGATCCCCCTCCCCCATCTTTCCCTGCCGTCATTCAGCCTGACCGGGTTGGCAGGGTGAGGGGGTAACGCTCTGGAAACCAGCAAGTGGGAATTCAAAGCTTTGGAAATGGAAATCAAATCACAGCCACCACAGAACGGACAAATGGGCTGTCTACACAGAGAGGTGGCCCATTGTTTAGCTGGGATCATTTCTACCTTATTAAGTCTCTGTTCTGTGTGGGTATTTTTTTCCCCCAGTATAATCTAGATGGTAAATCTAGGCCAGCAGAGTTATACTGTAGTAACTCCTTGTGTGGTATGCCTTTTTTTTTTTTGTGGTGGTGGTGGTATAAAAGTGGCTTTGTTCAGGAGATTTGTTTCACTTCCAAAGGGCTTCGTGCTAAGCTGAGAGAAAGTCTGTCATACCGAAATAACAGCATCTATCCATGGTGGTTAATTGGTTTAGTTAGACGAGTATGATAGGTACAAATTTCCCTTCTGATATAGGGTCTAAGGGACAAAATCTGCTTCCAGTCTTTGCCTATATTTTGGGCTACATGATGATACCCATACATCTGTATAGCCAACCCTTTCACCAGGGTAAACTAGAAGTGAACAGACAAATATTGGTCTGCACCAAGTCTAATTTGCTTAAATCCAGTGCAAAATTGCCTTGATTTCCCCCCTCCCCCCAATAAAACTACAGCAGAAGAGGGACATAAAATATACCAGTGTAGGTGTTGTCTGTCCAATGCTTACCTTGGACTAGCCATTTGTTCAGTGCTTTCACCTGCTCCCAGCCACCTACTGGCAAGGCACTATAATAGCTACCCTGGACTAAATGTTTGTCTCTATCCCAGATTTAGGTACCATTACATTGGTGCACAAGACGAACAATATAAATTAATGTTAGTGTCAGTCATTTGTCTCCTCCAGTAGTTCACAGCCTCTTTGGGTACCCCTCATTAGACGCATGCCAGCTCTTAGTTTTCACTCACTTTTTTTAATATGGAAAAATAACTGAGCAATTCTTCCATTGCAAAGAACATTGCAAAACACAACAGAGCAGAATGTGCTTGGCACTATGGATTCCTATTTGGAATCACTGGCTGCATCCATATGAGTGGGGACATTTGGTTCCCCAGGGACAACTAGCAGTGGGACACTTTGTGCTGCATCTAGTTGTCCCCAGGGAACGCCTGTGCCCTGCACCCTCTGGCATATGGCAGGTTACGCTGGGTGGGGTAAGGGAGGCTGGGTCCAGCTCAGTGCAGACTTACCTGGGGTCCTAGGGGCCTCCTGGGGCTGTAGCAGTGGTGATCCTGCCGCTCAGAGCCTGGGCAAAAGCCAGAGCACCAGGCTCTGGTTTTGAGCAGCATGCACCACTCTGCTTTTTTTTTATTTGTGCAGGTTTTTTTAACCCAGGATATCCAGGGGTCAAACCCCCACTGCGCTGCTCCCTTGCAGCATGGAGAACAGCTGAATGTGCAGTATGTGGCACTGTGGGCAGGTCTGCGGTGCCACATACCACTTGGCCATTCTCATTTGGACATGGCCTCTGGGTTTACCTTGGGTTTATCATAGGTAGGTGTTTGTACATCTAACAGTGCTGATATTGCATGGTACCCAGTGGCACTCTTCAAAGGATGTCATGGCATTGTGTGTACTGTGGCACCATAGTTGAGAATCACTGTCTTAGATACTTGAGTTTAAGCCAGCACCATAATTGCACCATTGTCCAAATACACTTACTCAAAAGTACATTGCATCTTGCACTTAGGTTAGCGTGTTGCACCATTTGGAAACAGATGAGTTGCTAAACTACAGAAGAAAATCTCTGCCAGTGATTCCAAATTTATACTGGTTTCACTGAAAGTAAAATTTTATTTGTAGGATATTTTCCCCTAAACCTGAAGTAAGAATTAATCACTGTTGTTCAGGATTTAATATCAGCTGTTTTGTTAACTGTTATCAGGAGATAAATTGCTAAAAGATCTCAGAGGCTTTGGCAGAACTAGGAACAAAAAAAATCTCCAGCTCTCCTGATTGGCAATCTTGTGCTCTAATCACAGGTGGGAACTCCTTCACCAAAAGCCAAGCTCAAAAAATAAGCCTAGAAATAGTCTGTGATACTCAGACCACAGTCTGATTTGAAAGTGGCTTTTCAATTTATCCTCTGCAGCTTCAGCACTGAATAAAAAAATCATATTTTTAAATTTGAAAAATTCAGTATTTTTAAAGTAATTTGTCCCAATTTAAATTATTTTTAATATTTATTTTTAATAAACCTGTTTAAAATGAAATCTGAATATAATCCAGGCTAGTAAGGCCTGAAATATTATTGTCTCAGAATATTAAGGAAAAAAATGGTATGTTGAATCCATAGCTCTTAGAAATTCAACATAAAAATAAGGGAGGGGAAAAATTGTCTAATTTTAAAATACTTGGAGGAGGGCCTGAGTAATTTAAGAGATTGGCCTCATTTTCAAGAAACTTAGGTGAGTAGGATTTAAGTTCCAATCACTTTCATTTAGCCTAGGAAAATTTTTAAAAAGATTTAAGTTGAAATAATCAGTTTAATTCATGGATTACAGTTGATTTCTCTGCATGATCATAACTTAATTGCAAGTATAAAGTGTGCTTTGGTAAGAAGCGTTGTGTACCCACAGCTTTTAAGATTGTTTTGTTTAATAATAAAAAAAATCAAATTTATGTTGTTTTATGTGTGTTAGATGTCAGGTATTTTCCTAATGCAACTGATTGACAAAATTAGGAGCAAAAAATAACTACTAGCAAATAAGCAATATCAGTTACCATATTTTAACCCCAAATAAAATAATAAAAATGTTAACGTAGTAAGATATATAAATTGGTTAAATATACACGATTGCTGTATACATCATGCAGCAAAAAAAAAGTTGTGCAAAAACTCCATTTAGCTTTAAATATTCATATTTCAATGGTTATGTCAACCAGTGTAAGTGCACCTTTCATGAGAAAATTAATGGAAGTACAGATGGAAAAGTTTTAAATTGAGATTTTTTTTTTCACTTGGCAGTTTAAATCAATGATTTGAATGCCTTCATGTAAATCTGTCCACCTTGGCAGAAAGTGATGTTAAAGAAGTGTGGGGGGGTTTTCTTGCTGGTTTTCACTGTGTGCATTGGGCTGGTCTCTCCTGAATAATACAACACAAGCACTATCTGTCTGTAATACAGTAAAACTACTGCATTTTCTAATAGGGATGCAAATAGCTCCCACCTTATTACAGATAAATCAAACAGAAAATAGTATTATGCTCACATGTTGCCTGAATCCTGTCTTATGCTTCTTGAATACTGAAGAACTGTTGTAGGACTCTGAAGTGGACAAATGGAAGAGAATGGTAACAGTTAATACACAAAGATACAAATATGACTGTATCTGCTGCCGTGACAAATGGGAAAAGATTTTTCGTGCTGCCGGAGGATAGTGTAAAAGTGTTTCCTTATTATGCAATGCTATGCTTGCTCAGTTTAAAAAAAAAAAACTTGCACGGACATTGCTGTACAACTCATGATTCCACACTTGGTAGCCATCTTGGAGAACAGAAACTTCAAAATCTCAAACAGCAAAAACTGAATCAAAGGGTAACATAAATCAAGTTACCCATTCTTGCATGCAATTTTGTAAGTAACAAAATAAATAAAACCATATGTAGATGGTGAGATACATTTTAAAATGGATATTAAGGTTCAACAATGTTCCCAGGTTAAAAGCAACTAGAAAAGACTTGAATAAAATTCAGCTTCCAGATTCTTCTGGGTAAGAGGGCTTCAGATATTTCAGAGAACATTGAAAAATGTAGTGAACAAAATGTCTAGATCAGCATTGCACTTGACAAAAGTTTGGATAGTAACAATATCCCCCAGTTATTGATATGTGTCAGAGCAAGTACTTGGGAGCTAGATGTGACCAAAAGACCTTTTGGATCTGAGAACATTACAAAATGGTGGTAATGGAGAAGACATAAAAATCACTGTCATGGATGTCCTCAAAGTTTTTTGATTAGCACTAGAATAAGTAACAGCCTTACAATAAACAGGGCTCTAGCTATGAGTAAGAGAAGCAGTGCTGTTTCTTTGCTTTGGCAAAAACTGAAATGTGAAAAATCAACTTATGAAATTGTCTCTTCTCACTGCAAGAAATGCTTCCTGCTGTACAATACAAAGTTTTCTTGGCTTAGGACATCATGAAAGAGCTTATTGAATTGGTCTGTTTTATCAGGACAGGAGCCAGGGACCACCAGCCATTCAAAATTCTGTGGGAAGAATTTGAGACGGAGTATGGTGATTTGCTCCTACAATGACTTTTTTTGGAAACTAGTAAACAATCTTCCTCATTGCAAAATTAGCCAGGAAGTTTATCTCTGTCTTCCCATCAACCTACAAATGCAAAGCATCCTTTTCTGTAGTAATTCAGATCAAAAGTACTAGGCAAAATATACTGTCCAAAACGAAAAACATCTTTGAATTGTGGGGACCACTCTAGAACCAGGCCTTGTATTGAAGTCATGTAGCCTGCTCACCTCTGTGGGCATAAGAATCAGACAACGTCCTGTGTTTCTGCAATTTTAATAATACAGGTGTTTCTGTGATAATTGCAAATAAATGGCGAAGTGTTCAAAATGCATATCTAGTAAATGGAAAAGAATGATCATTTTAGAGGGGGCGCGGTTCTGCAGTACATAGTTTTTTCTCCTTTAAGCATGAGTGGTTGTCAGAGATCACCTGGCAGTATCTTTGTTGATGTGGCTCTTTAGTTAACACTGACTGCTGATATTGATCCTGGGGTGGTATTTATTTTTAAATAAATGGGCTAGTATGATTTGTGCCAAAGTATTGGTTATGGCCATTTTATATAGTGTTTTTAAATAACTACTAGGCAGGCATATTTAATATTGGCAGAGAGACCGTCTTTGGACATTATGTATAAAATTTCAGAATGTTTCAGATCAGTATTATTCAGATCAGTGTGTCAAGATAAGCTTATTAACACAAGGCTGCAAATTATTAGCACTTTTTGAGACTCTGTCTTTTAAAGGGAGTAAATAATCTTAATGATGCATAGCCTAGTGGTTGGAGCACAAGACTGATATCAGGAGTTCTCTGTTCTAGTCCAGAACTCTCTGACTGTAGGCATGTCACTTAGCCCATCTGCCCGTGCTTCCCTCTCTGGAAAGTGGTATGCCACCCCTTTTCCTACCCCAGAGGGTTCAGGAGAAGCTCAGTTCATGCTTAGGAACAATTCTGATGCTATTTCATAGTTTGTTAAAATTTGAGTGTAATTCACTATTTTTTTTAATTTAAAGAAAAATCTCAAAAAAGGACACAAATGCTGAATATGAATTACTAGTATAATGACTTCCTACTGTAAGTGAGGACCAGCCTCCCCAGTCCTCCCACCAGTGTATAGAGGGCTTCATCCTGCAAACATCTGTGCCTCTGTACAAATTTACTCTTGTGAGTAGTCTTGTCAAAGTCGGTGGGATTATTCATCAACATGTACACTGCCCACACTCAACTTTACTGAACAGGGGCCTTGAGTTTTTCTTCTTTCTAACTTTAGGACTTTAAAATAACCAATAAAAACCACATACAAGAACTGGATTGCATTTGAAGGGGAAAAATGCCAAGTCATAGCTCTTGCCTAATAAGAAGCAGTAACTAAGAGATTGTAGAGCATAGAGTATGTGCTCAGTTAATTTTTGTTGTTGTTGGCAAGGATCAAAGTGCAAATTTGAGTGTTGAATCTGAAGGTAGAATCAAATGCTTTGAGGATTCATCTGTTGTTTTCCAAAAACAAATCTATTCCAGTGTTTGTTTAACCCAATAGCAAAGCATTCAAGTCAGAATTAAGATTGAAGCTACTTTAAAAACAACAAACTTGACATTTCTGTACCACTCTGCCTCTAAAAACAGTCGTGAAGCATAGTGACGTTGTGTATAGAAGCATGCTGACGTGATCTCTATTGAAATAATGTATTATCCTAAACCCAATATTAAAAAATAAATCATGGTGTGCCTTCTCCTTCTTTCTGCTCCCCATCATGACATTCCCCTCCACCCCCACCTTTTAATACAGTTCCTCATGTATGTCTTTTAACCTTTGAGTCTTTGGGAAGCATTATAGTCCTATGTGGTGGTGGTGGTGGTGTTGCTTTTTGAGCCTTTCCTTCTCACCCCCTCCCCACCGCATGAACATTCTGATTCTTGCTTAATCAGATGCATTTGGGAGCTGATGAGACTTTAAGAGGAACACCAAATATGATGAGATCCACAATCAAATTGTAAGTGCTGGCACTACTTTCTCCCTCTCCTTCCACCAGTCAGTCACACGCTCTTCCCATCTTCCTCCAGAGCTAGAAATAGAGCCCAGGAATTTAAATGTTTTTTGCCAATAAGGTGAACACGGGCCTCAAACAGGGGTTCACTTCTAGTGGGGGAAACTTTTGAGATATTTCTCCTGCTAGAAATTGCTCTGGGAGAGGAAACAGTACAGGCACCCAACATGAAGCTGTCCTCTCTCCCTTGCTCTCTGCACCTTCACCAGAAGGCTTAGGGAGCTGGCTGCTCCACTCTTCCTGGTCCTGGGGAATTGGAACAGCAGAGCAAAGTCTCCTGCTAGGTCCCCAAACTGGGGGCCCTGATGGGGCTACGGGCACCAGCTTTTTCTTTTATATTTCAAAGCTGCGTGTGCAGCCTTGCACTTTGAGCTGCAAGTGCGGAGCTCTGCATGTACCACGTGAGGTGAGCTTCTCCCCTGAAAGGCACTTCAAAGCCAGTACCCTCATCTCCCCCAGAGTGGAGGAAACGGGGCAAAGCCCCCAGCCTGTTCCCTGAATCAAGCACTCCCTGGTCTGGGGAAGAGGTAGGGAAGCATTGCCCCACTGTTCCTCTCCCCTTCCAGACTGGTCCCGGTGAGTGCAAAGCCCTCAGCCCAAAGTGATTCTTGCTGCTTTCTTCTCCTTCCAGACCAGATCAGGAGGGGCTCATACAAGTGTTCATTCTTGGAAGATAAATTCTTACAAAGGAGATCTTCCAGTCTGACACCTGGAAGATGTTTTCCTAGAAGGGCATGTTTCCCTTGGAGAAAAAATTATGTGAATACTTGCACACATCACTTCTCCTGGAAGAAAGTCAATTCTCCTGGTAGAATTGTAATACTTGTATGAGGATATATCTTCATGTTTTTGCTTGCTCCAGCTGCATCATAAGTTAGAGACCTCATACAGTTAAGAGCCTGTGGGAATGAATCTCTTTCATACTGAAGGTTTTTTACATTGCTCCACAGACCTTGAAAAGGGGGGAAATTACGGATGCGCCAGTGTAAAGGGACCTTGGTAGAAATAAGCATCAAACCTTTTTGGTCTAATTTTCCACATGGATACAATGGTGTAAACTGAAACAGCTCCATTAAAGTCTGTGAGATGAGATCAGATTCTGCCTGTAAAATGGGGTTTTGCAAGGGCTGGTGCTCTTCTCTTTCTTTATTCTTTCCTTTGTGAGGGTCAGCATTTGCCCTATTGGAACCTCTGTTTCTTCAGTTCATGTCACAGAAGTGTGCCTGGCTGAATATGCATGCCATATGTTCTTTTCTTTTTTATCTTATTTAGTTCAAGATGTCCAAAAAAATCCATGGAGGGTCTGTTGTGGAGATGCAAGGAGATGAAATGACCAGGGTGATTTGGGAATTGATCAAAGACAAGCTGATTTTTCCATATGTGGATCTGGATGTACACAGGTAACCACCCTCATATACCACACTTACTCCAATCTAAGTCGACCTTGAATTCCTTATTATTCCCCTGAGAAATCAGTCTCTCCTCTAAAACCCCTTT